TGCACGTACTATACAGCAGAAGGAAAACATCGTTCGCATTGGCTCGATGCGATCAAAAAATGATGATGATTATTCCTATAAACAGAAAATATATTAAATAATATTCGAACATAATCTATTTCATAATATATGTTGTCATCGTTTACGTTAAGATACGTTTCATGAGCAGAAATGATCGATCGAGAAAAATCGTCGAAAATTGTGTGTTTATTAACAGTAATTCGCTAACCAGACGCTTCTTTGTAGCTGAATGGTACAACACGTCATGTCAAATGACTGTTTCGGTATAGGAATACAGGTACGTATCCTTAAATAAATTGTATCTATAAAAATAACGTATAATCAGAAAAATATATATATATATATATATATATATATATATATATATATATATAAATGTATGTATTACTTTAAACATTATTTTTAGTGGATACCCATATCTGAATAGACGTTGCGTTTATTTTTTTTAATAGTATTTACTTCGTCTACTGAAAATTCGAAAAAACATTATTATAAAAAAAGTTGCGCTCTGTCGGAGGGTATATTTTTTTCTCAATAAGATTTCTCGTATCTTAATAAAATTTTTCGAATGTTTAGGCAGGTACATGAAATAAATACAGTTTTAAAAAATGGGACGTTTACTCAAATATGGTATCCACTAATAAAAACGTTTAAAGTAATAAAAATATGTCGGATTAATGAATAACATTTCCTTACATCTGTTATATACATATTAAATAATACTTAGTAGACTATTATTTTTTTAGAAAATTGTATTTCTTCTCTGACTTCCTCGTTTTGACCTTTGAGATCAGATACAGGAAAACAAAGGACATCCATTTTGATTTGCTAAAACTAGCATGGGAATTATTTCATTAAATAATATAGACATATTATGTCTATTTATTTTTATAATTCTCTCTAGTTCTCTAATTATCTTCTTGATGTTAAGTTGAAATTCATCAAAGAAGGCAACACATGTTTTGTTAACCCAAGTACTTTCGATCTCCTCTGAGATCATCCTTGGGTGTGAATTTCGAAGACAAACTTAATGTAACTGTAGTCGGTTCACAATGTATTATATGGGTAACAATATATTGAATATTCCAGAAAATATATAGCAAAATGTGGGATAACTAAATAACTTTCATAAAAACAAAGATATTTTGAAATTATTTGACAAAGAAAATTGTTTCTATATGTTAAATCTTTGTAGATGATTATAGTAAATTTTATGTGTTGAATACAACAAACAGAATCAAAATATCTATTTTTCAAAAGTTATTTAATTTCAAACATTTTTTCACAGACCACACAATATGAGTATTGACAGAATTGCCAGAAAAGTGACATTTCGAATATAGGGGGATTGTCACATTTTATAAGTAGGATGCTTACTTTCTAATATTCGATAATAAGTGCGCATTTTAGAATATTTTTTTATCTTGGTGACAACTGGGAAGGAAAAAAATAATGTGAGACCCAGTGCTGCTATATATATATATATATATATATATATATATGTGTGTGTGTGTGTGTGTGTGTGTGTGTGTGTGTGTGTGTGTGTGTGTGTGTGTGTGTATCATTTCAGACATTACTTTTAGTGGATGCCTGTGTAAATAGACGTCCCTATTTTTAAAAAATTTGAAACAGTGCGTATTACGTCTACTGGCCTGCGCACTCCAGTAAACTTAATAGAGAAAATGTGGTTCCGGGCTTGGTTCGAACACATTTTCTTTACTAAGATTGCGCAGGTCGATGGACGTAATACGCACTGTTTAAAAAAGAAGAAATGGGACATCTATTTCAAATAAGAAGTATCCACTACAATACTGCTTGAAGTAATACGTACATACATATATATATATATATATATATATATATATATATATATATATATATATATGGTGTGATGGGTAAATTGTCGGCATGCCATTTTTTTTCTTTCGCGCATGCGCGTTGTTTGTTTTTGATCTTGTCGACTGCACAGTGTTGTAGGGTCAGCTGGGTACAATATGTGAGAAAAAGAGCACCATAACGCAATTTACTCCGCCAGAAAATTGGAAACGGCATGCTGTACTGCTTGGCATTTGCGCCGGAAGCTCCAGTACGAATATTTCAGAGTGTTTGGGTGTCAATCAAAGGATATTCAGAGGATTCGTCAAGAGTTGGATGAGTCAGTGGTGATTACGAAGGTATTTAGAGTGATCACTAGTGATGTCGCCGTTATCCATTCCTCCATTCATCTTCCCACAGGGCCTCAGACTCAACATGGAGGCCTGCATGAAGTACCTTGAGGGGGTATTTCTGCCCTGGGTCAAGAGAGTGGCAACTGGAAAACCCTATGTCTAGCAAAAGGACTATGCCACACAAGCAAGAGAACACAGTCATGGCTATCAGACAATTTCTGCAACCATATCACCCCTTATATTTGGTCACATAACTCCCCAGACGGGAACACCCTTGATGATTATGTGTGCGACGCAATTGGGCGAGAGACCAACAGAACACCTTGTAACACCAAAGATGAGCTGAAAGCAAAGATTATGGCAATATTTACAACTTAAACAAAGAAGAGTTGCAAGAGATTTCGAAGTCGTCTGGAGGGCATAGTTGATGCCAACGGCGATTTTATTGAAAAAATGACTCATTGATATTTCAAAATATTTTTGTGTAATTTCGTTAAATAGATCTGTTAAAATGAGATGTCTTATTTTCATTTTTGCGTAATTTAAACGACAATGTATCCATTGTATATATATATATATATATATATATATATATATATATATATATATATATATATATATATATATATATATATTGGATAAATTCTTTTTAATTACAATTATGATAGAGTTGGTCGGTAGAATAATATATCTTAATTGGTAGGATTTGCCTGAATGGTCCACTCCTCTATTTTGAAATATTTTACAAGCCTTCGGTTTCACATTGAATATGAAATAATTAGAGTATTGGAAAAGCTTAAATATATTTTTAATGTATTTCTCCTCTTCATATCAATATTGAGGGCTACAAATCCTGAGTGCTCATAAATAGAATTCGATAATTATTCCGGATTTAATTGTGTTCTTATGGTCCAATTAGAAATTTATGAGGTCAAATTTATTGATTTGCGATGGACACTTAATTTTAGGTTATTGTCAGCACGGTATAATATAATATCTAGGAAATGTAATGCGTTGTTTGTTTCTGTTTTGTAAGTAAATTCTGTCGTAAGATATCAGAGATACGTTGATTGTTTAAATAAAATATGGAAAGGGCCAGATTCAAGAAATTCTCCGATAATACACCCTTTAACACCACTCAGAGGCGAACTCATTGGTAATCCAAATTTTTGTTATTAAAACTTAGTGTTAAAGGTGAAATAGCATTGATTAGTAATGTGTTGGCAATTTATTTTGATTTAGCTGTTGGTAGGGAGAGGTTTAATTTGATCGTGTTAGCTGCTTTTTTGATTAAATTAAGCATTGGTTAACATGAAACTTGGCATAAAGGGATTTAAAGTATCCATAAGTTTATCTCTCATATTTATTCGTCTTAGTTTTTTGACCAGATTGCCTGAATTTTGAACATCCAAGGAGAGGAGTTAAAATTTTTGTTATATTTTTCTCTAGTCCATGGGGGAGCACCACCAGTACTTGATATAATTGACCGCATTTGTATGTCGCCTGCTTTGCGGTTCTTGGTTAGACCATAAATTTGGGGTATTCTAGGGTGATAATAGTTGATGCCATGATTTGTTTTCATTATTAATTGTTTTTAATTGTCCTGTTAAATTTTTGTGGCTCTTTAATTATTTTATGGTCATCTATTTTTTATATGTCTTATATCATTCAGTAGTAAATTAATTTTATCATTGGATGTACTCCCATTCACAACAACAATTACACCCTGACTTTTTTTTTCCAAGGAAATGATATGGATTTCCTTATTTTTTGATAGTTTTCTTAGTGCTTTTTAGCATTAAGAAAACTCTGTGGTAGAGATCTTCTGTTATTTGTTTCTAGAGTGGTAGTAATTAAATACTTGGTTCAAGCCGTTGAGAAATTTTGTGTCTTAGATTTCTAAGGGATTCCAGTTTTGTTAGATCTGGTCGTCCAATGTATTTCCATTAGCTATTGATACATTAGGTGCTAAGCCTGTGTTGTAATTTGCTGATGAGATTGTTGCGTATATATTTTACCATCTGTTGTAAATAAATTATTTCCGATGTTGATATAACAATCTTTTTGTAAAATTCTAGTTCAGCATTTTTAGTTCTTCAATAGATTAATTAAAAAAAAAATCACATGTATAAATGTGACGGGATGTTTTTAGTATCCTATATGTACAAAACAACGTGTTGGCTCATGTATGAGTCGAAACGGTGTTTTCCTCTTGTCTTTTAATAACCGCTCAAAAAAATCTAATTGAATTTAATTGAAATAATAAAACAAAAAAATATTAATATGCAACCTAGTGTGTCTGAAAATTTTAATTTCTCAATATTTTTATTGTTCAAAACACTTCCTATACATACATACACACACACGCGCGCACACACACACACATATATATATATACACATATTAGGTAAAGAATTTTTTATTAAAAAATTATATATCTATGTATATTAGAAAATGAATCTGGACATTTGAAAGCATCTTCATATTTATATTTCTCGGTTGATTTCTGTATATTTATATACACGCACACATACACACATCTCTCTCTCTCTCTCTATATATATATATATATATATATATGTGTGTGTGTGTGTGTGTGTGTGTGTGTGTTTGTTTATTCAGAGAACAACTGCCGAGTGTGGCCAAGATATTGGAAATATTCGTGTAGATCCAGTATCGAGAGGGTCTGTCCAAATGAAAGCCATCCAAATCTGACGAACACACAATTGTCGTTATTTCTTTAATTACTTTTAGCATCAAAGGCCGTACTAGCCACGTCCGGTTTGCCTTCCGCTGGGAGCCCTACGACCACTACCCCCCCCACCTCCGGCGACTGGACATCGTCTTGCTTACTGCAGTTGCCTCCTTTAAAGCAATTACATCCTGATGAAGACCGCTGATATCTTTGGGTTCAGGAGCTGTGAAAGAAAGTAAAAAGAAAGAATAAAAGAAAGAGGAGATAAAGGAAAGGAAGGAAAGAAATTGGAGAAAAAATCGAAAGAGAGCGGAGGGAGAAGGATAAAAGGAATGAGGAAAGACAGAAAAATATGACGAAAACAGGAAGACGACAAAAAGAATAAAAATAAAAGAAGGAAAAGAAAATTGAAAAATATAGAGGAATAAAAATAAATGAATAAGAAAGAAGGAGAATAAAACTAGAAAGAACGCAGAAAAACTGTAGACGTAATAAAAGATAAAGAGAGATTAATCAATAACTGAGGTGAAAATAAATACTAATAAATACTAATAAATACTAATAAAAGAATAAAATCGATGAGACAACAAAACCAGAGTCAGGGGAATAAAATAATGAAATAATAAGAATAAAAGATAAATGTTAAGAAATCAATCAGGAAACAGAAAAAGAGAGAAGAGAGGTTAACATAAAAGGTTGCAATATTTAAAACAAAGGCCAAAAAGAAAAAAGAAGAAAGCTGTATCGAGAGATGAAGAAAACGATGAAAATATTGAAAAATGAACATGTATACGTAATAAAAAGGTGAACAAAAGAAAGATAAGAAAAATGAATTAGAAAAGAAAAATACAGAAGCGGGGGATGAATCATAGAAAAAAGAAATCGTAGAAAAATTAGAAGAAATTTGATGAATGAAATTTATGAAAAAAAAAGAGTGTGAATGAAAAACAATAATAGCATGAATAACCAAAAAGTGATATAGAAAAGGAAGGAAAGAATAAATAACTAAAAGAGAAAAGTAGGTGAGGAATGAAGCATAATAGAGTTTTGAAAGATGAAAACGGGATGAACAAAAATTATCGAAAAAAAATGAACGAAAGAAATGAAAAATCATAAAGAAGTAGGAGTTATGCATGATAAAAATGGTAGAAACAATTAAAATATATGAACAGGGATGAAAAAGAAGAAAGAAAAATGAAGAAAGAAAAAGGAAGAAAGAAAAATGAAGAAAAAAAAAGGGAGAAGATAGAAAAATCAGAAAAAAAAGGGAAAAGATTATAAAAGAGAAAAATAATTTCTTATACTAGGAAGTGTTTGAAAAAGAAACACAATAAACAAAAAGGAAAAAAATGAAATAAGAAATAAAGAAAATGAATTAAAAAGAAAGAATTAATTTACTGTAAAGGATATTAAAAGAAATAATTTATTTTTCTACCAACGTGGTCATTCTACCGAATTGTTTCATTAGTCGACATGAAACAGATTTCAGTCTAAGGCATTAACAGATACTGATTTCCATTTTTCATGACTGACAATAATAAGATGACTGGCGATAGGACAGAATACTGTAATGGTCTGAATATTACACATTTAATTTTTAGTAAAGAAAGAGGATCGTTTTTGTTTGCAGTTACGGGTGTGTGGGTGGTGTAATGGAAAGCAGCACGGAATGAAAATCGGAGTAGCGAGTTCGAATTTATCGGGTTCGAAATATTTACTTACACACACACACACACACACACACACACACACACACACACACACACACACACACAAAACCTTTGGAAAGGTATGAATCCATCTCTTCCTTCGGGCTATGGGTTAAATGGTGGGAACTTGTAGCTGGAAAAATCATTGTTATTCTCAAAATATTGTTAATATAATATTCACTACTCGCTTCTCCAAAAAAGAAATATTTTTACAATTCAAGATATATTTCGATTTTAAGTAACTTACTAAGGGTTGATAAGCCATAAAAAACAAATGAATCAGTTAATGTTTACTGTTACAGTCCTGTAAACAAAATATTTTCCTATCCGTTTGATTCGCTTACGAAGAGAAGGTACAAGTCATTGTGATGGTCAAGGCAACCAGAAACATCTAGGAAAGAAGGCCGTCATTTTTACACAACTACATACATGGCAAATAGACTTCTTTGTGCCAGGCAAGTATGTCTAAGGAGACGAGGAAGCGGGGCAAGCGTAAAGAAAGGAAGGATAGTTTACAATAGGCATTGTGGAAGAGCTATCATATTTCTGACAAAGATTAATTATCTGAGGAAAATTGTCTCAAAGTAAGGCCCTTAGAATTTGGCGTCTGGAAGAGATGCTTGAAAAAAAAAAGCAAGTAAAAATGGAAAGGGTCTGGTAAGAGACTGGGACTTTGTCACTTGTCGGCTTTGTTGGGGGGGAAGAGGCTTTTTCTTTCCTTCGACTGATGTGTTTTCTATTGTTTCGTTTTCTTTTATTGATCGATACAAGGCGAATTTGAATTTTAGATTTGAGGCAAGCGCGACTCTGATTTCAAACCAAACGAATGAAGATTCACTCTGACATGGGGAGAGTGTTGTGAACCAAGGGCAAGTTCTCAGATAACCTGTAGGTAAGGTATAATTACTGATAAACAACTTAATTCATACTCTGGACTGAATGACGGATGACATTGTTCGGATCAAGTTCTGTTGTTTATTTCGTGAAGGCATTTCTTATTTAACAAGGCCAGAGATTTAGAGCAGCCATTTTGCTTTTCTATATAATAGTACCTAAAGGGGATTAGTTTAAGTTCGTGTCAAATCTGTTATATCTGATGCTATAGCTAAATATATATTGCTTTTATTAATTCTTTATGGAATATCCCGATTTAAAGGCGCCATATTTTAAAAGTATTTTATTCTTTTCGGAACATCACAACTTTCGATTTTGGAATCAACCAAAAATATTTGAGCGTCTATCCTGACCTTTCACTCAGTAGCACCAACTTCGCAAGATCAGATACAACAACCTGAGTTGCACTTTTCGCTCTTTTTGAGCTAAATAGTTGGTATAAAACAGAAGAAATTTTTCTCCATTTGCGAAAGTATTTTAGCTAATTACTTACTTACTCTCTCTCTCTCTCTCTCTCTCTCTCTCTCACACACACACACACGCATATATATTTATATCAATAAAGACAAAATGAAAAACTATTCTTTACCAACGCGTTACGCCCTATGATGGACTTTATCAAGGCAAATGTATAGATTTTATTTTGCAACATGCATTCGTTGGGTTCTCTAACGTTGCTTGGCAACCAGTCTAGGAGAATGATATCTCTGAATTCAAAACCAATTTCGTGTGGGGCTGACAACTCCGCCTCATTAAAACCTACATTGCTACGGAAACCAGGAAAAGAGAGAGAGAGAGAGAGAGAGAGAGAGAGAGAGGAGGAGGAAAGATGTTTATATAAAGAGTAAAAGAGAAACTCTTTCCTATAAGATATTTTAATTTACAAAAGAAACAAAACAATAACTATACATCAAAATGAAGTCTGAAGGTTATAAATTATTATATATTTAGTATAATTAGAGTATAATATTTAATATACTATATATAAAATATAACTAATATAATTGTTGGTAATTAACTAAAATGTAAATATTTAACCATTTCTGATCATACTTTCCTGAAGACGTTTCCTTTTATTCTGGGCTTCACGTTTTGTTGATTCTTTTTTTAAAAGTTTCTCTTGGATATTAAAATATTTGTTAGAATTTTGATTTGATTTTTGGCTATCGAAATAGTTTCCTTTCAAATGTTTGTACAGAATATAAATATATACAGTGTAAGCCTCTCAAGACATATATGAAAATTCAAAAGCATTAACAAAACACACCAATAGGAACGAAATAAGAAAAAAAAGTGCCAACTTTAAATAACACCTGAAAGCAATGCAAACATTACCTGGGGAGAAAATAACGATTATCACACTTTTGGAACAAACATAATCAAGAGAGCAAAGTTCATGTCTAAATTAAGACACGAGAAGAAATTCATACTATGCTACCTATAACCACAATTCAAAAGACTAAATAAAATCCCATAACCTAAAACTAATAATATTTATTTGAAATACCAAAATTTAGAACCGAAGAAAATACACTAAACAAATAAATAAATCAAATGTATAAATATATAAAGATGAAGATTAAGATGAAGATAAAGATCATGATTAATAATAAGTCAAAGCATTAGCTCTAAACAAAGGAACTGGGAAGGAGAATTTTCTCCTTTTCTCGTTTCCTTAATCCACCGGTATCTCACGAAATAAGTAGTGATACAAAGTCTGAAGATTGCTGGAGGCGTGAAACTGACAGTCACAATCCAGAGTGTATTCTTATACACACACACACACACACACACACACACACACACACACACACACACACACATATATATATATATATATATATATATATATATATGTCACCAGCTGTAACACTGCTTTTGGGTCGTCAATTAAGCAATTGAAAAATGACAACAAAAATTTCATTATGGGACAGATAATGCTACGTGGTCAGTGGAGATGACTAATGGCTTCCATGTGACGAGTGAGACGGAGGCGCAAATTGATGAAATCAGAGCAGTCTGCGTACGTCTACTATGTTTAGACGCATGCGCTCCTAGTAATATTGTATTTGACGCTTTCTGATTGGCTGTGTGGGCCTGAACTTGATGTATCGCATGATTGGACCGGAACAAGAGAACTCAATGGTTGATACTACAAGTAAAAGCAGAATCACTTATTACTACTAATAACGGCGATAATGATAATGATAATGAGCTAAATCTGATTGTAGCTTTGGGAAATGTGATACCGGAAGAAAAGAAAGAAAAGATGGGTCGCGAGAAGGATAGAGTATATATTACCATTGATGGACAACTGAATGCACAGTTGTGATATTCCAATTTCTTTGAGAAAGGTACAGGTAATTGAATGAGAAAGGAAAGCGGTATTTAATTACTTTTTATGCACTTTTTCTTTCTTTCTTTCTTTCTTTCTTTGTTGTTCGTTTCTTTCTTTCTGTATAGCTTATTGTAGTTTTTGGTTGTTACTGTTCCAAACACTGGAGACAAAGACGTTAATAAGTGACACCATAATAGTCTGGCTAATATGGATATTCAACCCTTCTGTTTTCAAAAGGCGAAAAGGAATCTTGGTTATTTTGACACTGACAATTTATTACAAAATTCTAACTTCGATCCCAATTAGAACATTAAATTTATACTTTTTAAATGCACGCATTTAGTGGTGTTTCTGGGTTACGATGAACAGTTGATTTACCCACGCCAAATGGATTAATGAAGGATGGTAATGACGAGGAAATACACGGGTAATTTTAACAAAGCAAGATAAGGAATTTATTTACGAATTTAAAGTTGTGTCAGTAGCTCGTTTCAGGAAAATAAATTAAAAAAAAATTAAAGTCCGTGGTTTTAACGAATTATCAGATCTGGTAGAAAGTTTGAAATACTTAGCTTTCTTGAATTGTTAAAGGTAAAGTTTTTGAAGTGCCGCGTGCTTAGTTAAAAGGCTGATAATATAATTGACCAGTGTCAACCGGCGAAAACTTCAACGCTGGACGTGTGAACTGAAACGACTTCAGACACTCTTCTCTTATTAATTTAATTTTTCTCCTCATTTTATACCAAAAGGAATTTCGCATAAGACCGCGACTTTTTCTACTTTCTTTTTCTTGTCTCTACGGTTAATTTCTGTGGAGACAAGTTTCTCATTGGGCTAAGGCCTTTTCGCAAATTTATTCGCTTTTCTCTTCTGTTCTCCGGCCAATCTCTGTGAAGACAAGGTTTTCATTGGGCCAGAGAAAATCGCGAATTTCTTTCCGTCTTTTTTCTCAGTTCGCCGAATTTGAAGAGAATGAGTAAAGGGAGTTATTATTATTTCGTACTCACGACATAAATTCATTACAGTTACCCTCTTTCTCTTAGTCTTGAACACATTCATGTCTATCTATCTATCTATCAAGCTTAGCTTAGACTAGCAAAAGGCTACTCAAGAGACGCATGTTGAGGATCGAACTCACAATGCTAGCAACTGAACAATAGACATTTTTTTCTATCATTCGACGCTAGTAGTCACTTTCCTGGGCTTAACTTAGTTTGACAAAAGGACACTAATGAGAAGCACTAAATGAAGATCATAATCATTACATTAGTAATGGCTAACTAAACAAGCTCGCTAACTACTACTTTATGACAAGGCACTCAGTTATTTATTTAGAGGAGCTGAGTCTGGTACAAGATCATGATAGTGGGGAATTCGTGTAAGTCGACTTGGTCTATAAAACGTATATATATGAGGGGAAACTTCGAAAGTAATGTTTTTTATTTATTTCCACGAAAACTATAACAAATACGAGGAATATAATAACATCGTTGGAGAGAAAGGATTTTCAGCAACAAAACATTATTTATTACACAGTTATTATAACTGGCTATGTATTGTTTGCAAACATTGAAAAAGAACGTGTTCATTAGCGCGTCCGGGACGTTGCTTGTGACATTCATTCCTATACTGCCTCTTCTGAGAAGAATTACCAACCACCTAACTGGGTTTTACATTCAGCATTTCGTCTCTACAAATGATTAGTAAACATTGATGAATATCAATGGATGATTTTATTTCCTCATAAAAGAATTCAGTGACTTGCGTTGTGCTTTGTATGACCTTTCATGTCAGATGGTATTTTGTCACCATGCCACTCAGCTGGTATCCACATCAATGTATAATAAAATATATGAGGCACTGGCGGGAAAGTTCAACATCTACGGCCATACCACCGATATCCTGATATCCAGCGGACGTCGTGGGGCAAAGAAAATGTTAAGCATTACTTTTGGAGTGATATATATATATATATATATATATTCGGCATGTGTGTGTGTGTGTGTGTGTGTGTCCGAACATCACGTGACCGTGTTCAAATCGAAGCAAAATCTTATCAATACTAATTTTTGCTTGTCTATTCTGATGAAGTGTTAGCCATTAAAGAAAAAATTCCTTACAACGACCAATGGCTTCTAAAACACCTTTAAAAGATTCATTTTGGATCTAGTGACAAGGAGTTAACAGCAAGTCTTTTAACTAACTGAAGTTCATTGGAGTGAAATTTTTGGTCCAACACATCCGATTAGTGTTCAATAGGATTGGAATCCGGTCTTTTGGTGGTCAGGTAAATACTTTGAAGTTTTCTTCATGTGCCTGAAACAAATTTCGTACAGTAAGGCAGCGCGTATAAACTTGCTGAGAGAAATCACTTTCATCGTAAAAGAGTGATGTCGTTAAGTTTACATGGTGATTTTCAAAGCGTAGTTTAGATGTGGCACAGGGCCGAAAGAATGGAGCACCGAATGAGGATCGAACCTACTATTCAATTATAATTGATATAGCGAAAGAAGCTTGCTAACGATTACATAATGAAGAAGTTCACATGATCTTCAAAGACATCGAGAAATTCGGTAAGCGACAAAGTACGTTCCGTATGAATGATAAGGATCAGTGTTTCTCCTCAGAATGTTGCCCAAACCATTACACTATCTCTGAGCGTGTTGCTTACCTCACAGTATTTCGCCAGGATAACAACTCACAGATATCTGTCCATCTATTTTATTCGGGAAAAATCAAGATCCATTTTGTTATCGGGTTTAGTTGGTTACGCTTTTGGCGATGGACATTGATTAGCATGGATCTGTAGTCTGTTTTGACGAATTCCTGGAATTCGTGCCACAGTGGATATCGGCTCGATGTTTTTTTCCAAATCTGACCAACTGACCAAAATCTGACCATATTAGATTGTTTTGCAAGGGTTTCGAAAAAATAGAAAAGTTAACAAAATCAATGAATGAGAGAATGTTGAAAATTATATAATGTTACTGAGTCCTTATTAATATGTAAAATAAAACATTAATTTATTTCCGTATATGAGATATTATATTTTTAATCATTTCACTCCAATTAAGGCAATAAATCCGTTAAGACGTGGGGGGGGGTTACTGAGCGTTAGAAATCATGAGAAAAACTACTATTAAGGAGAGAAGACAGTAAAAGAACAAAAATTAAGAATAAAGAAGATAACGATTCACATTGCTTTTTCATTATTAAAGATCAAAGTTGACTAAGAAGCAAGAAGCCAGAGAGAGTTCCACAAGTGAGAAGTGCGATAGAAGAAACTGTTAGCATAGAATTTATGATTATATAACTATTGCAGATGTAGCAATGTAGTACTGCGCTTAAATTCATAAAGTCGATGTACCATATTATTGTTTATCTGAACAATTACAGTGAAAGTATTTACAGAAAGGCACAGATAAGCTAAATTACGGGGGTGGGAAAGTCACTGAAGCCGAGATAAGACACAGGGCCAATGACATTGCAGGTTCTTTTTTTGATTTTATCAAGAATCTCTAAATAGATAGAAGGAGCATCAGACCAGATGTGGAAGCAATATTCAATACAAGAACGAATGTTAACCTTATAAATATAAGTATGAATCAAATATTAAGAAAATAGATATATCTTTTGAATTTATTCATAAATTAAAAAAAGATTACGCTGTACTTAGCCTAATAAAACCTAACACTTACAAATAGTTTATTACAATGTATTTTTAAATAAGAATAGATATTATATGCTAAAACCTACATAATATATTAAACATGTGTTTACAAGTATATCCTGGAAATTTTACCAGCATTACTTAAATTTTCGACTTTTCGTGGCATCGTACTATTAAAAATACACCTTTAAGTGCCGAATCTAGGTACGTCGTCAGTGTTGTTGCTCCCATGTCACTAGAAGTTTCGGGTCTAAATAAACAACAGACTTCTTCGATGGGCGACCCGACCGAATATGATCAGTATTCGGCCCACACCCAGAATAAAATTGTCTACTAGCTTTAGGACGCGCATTATATAAGCCCCCCCCCCCCGAAAACAGCAACTAATCAAGACTTCACTTGGGCTATTCAATGTTATAGATCGGGTCTGCTTGGGGGTACTGATCTTTCTACATGCGGCCAAGACAGGGAGTTTTTGGAAGTAGAGAAAAAAACAAACCAATAAATATATATGTATACATTAATAAAATCAAGACTATTTGTTATATTAGCTCGTCTTGGGCACCTCGACGTGGTGTAATGGTTAGCAAGCTTGTTTCGCTAGATCAGTTACAACTGAAAAGTGAGTTCGATCCTCATTAGATGCCCCATACTGTCGGCCTTGGGCCACATCTAAGATATGCTTGGAAAAATAACTATATTGGCTTGACGTACTTTTCTTTCTCTTCCTCCCCTTTTAACTTCTTTATTATATCTTATTTGTTTGGTTTTTCTCTTTTTATAACTTTCCTTTTTATTCTTATTTTTTCTTAACTACACTTAACAAAATGTTTACAATAGAGTGATTAAAATGACTATTATTATTTACAAAAAGAAAACTCCTAAAATGCGGTATGAATAATTTGAGATATTGATTGATACTCTAATAAATTCCGTTTAAAAACTAAGAGAAATAACATTTAACTAAAATTGCTTAAAAATAAATTAATCAAGCTGTTTACATGTTAAATACTAGTTAAAAAAAGAAACCATAACGTGTAAATTTAGATAAAATAGGTTACTCCCCCAAAATTATCCTTAACAGAAAAAATTCGTTTAAAAACTAAGAGAAACAACATATAACCAAAATTGCCTAAAATAAATTAATCAAGATATTTATTTACACATTGAATAATAGTTTAAAAAAAAATAGCGGGTAAATCTAGCTAAAATAAGTTATTCCTAAAAAAAAAAATTATCCCCAAAGGAAACCGATTGAAAAAACGAGCAAATACGACAAAAAAAAAAAATCAAGAA